AAAATGCTTACTATGTAGTCATTATTGAGTATTTTGCGGTTACCGTGTAGAACGATTTACAAAATCCCTGATTTTTTGCTGATGGGGCGAGGCATAGCACACACTATTTCAAAACTACCCAAATTTGGGTAGAATCCACCCAGATCGGTCAATACTGAACCTACCCAAAAATGGGTAAACTTTGTTGGGAGTGACAAGTTGACAAATGAACAACATTCACAGAAAAACAAAACTACCCACCGCTTGGGTTTTTTAAACTCAAATTTGAGTTATTTGACCTCTGCCCGTTTCATTTCCTCTCGCTATTGTTGTCAAAAATAGAACGAAAGATTCGACTCAATCGTCTAGTTCCGTACGAGAAGCCAAAATTGAGTAATATGCGATATACCCAAATTTGAGTTAATTGAACTTAATTTTGGGTAGAAAAAATTGAAAATAACTTAGCGATGGGTATTTTTTTTTTGCCGTGCTTAAATGCAAACTACACTCAAAAATAATACAATTCGTTAATAGATTAAAAAATAAACATTTTTCAAATTCACCGGTTGTATACGCTCCATAGATTAAATTTTTACACTATCATAACTTAAACTTTATACCAAGTATGAATAGCAGTCAAAAAGCCTTCCCAAAGTATTCATGTCTAGGGTGATTATTTCTTACCACACCTAGATACTGCAAGCGGTAGGTGGGTAGGTGGCGCGTTTTGTTTTTTGTTTTTACCGTGGTCCAAGCTGGCGGTCATTAGTGCATATTATGGAAATTGTGTCGATTAGACTGGAACTGGTGGAAAATCTGACCATTACGTGGAATCCGTTGATTGAGTTTCATGGTGTTTCACAAAAAGTGGCGCATTCGGGTGCTCTACCGCTGTCTATTGTAGGTTTGCTTACATTTGTTAGGTTGTGAATGATTAGCTAATGGGAAATTTATTTCAGCTGCTGACGTCGAATTTGGTCCATCATGGGGAAGACGAGGAGGGAATCTTCGGATTCATGGAGGAGGACATCAGGAATGAGGAAGCTCGTATCCGAGGACAAAAGTGCTACATCTGCAAGGAGCGGTATGCTACCGTTACTTGCTGCGTAGAGCAGTGCTTCTGTACATTTCATACGCTCTGTGGGATGCGGAAAAGGTGCCTGTTGCATACGAGCGATCCATGGATACGTTCCAGTCGTGGTGCGATAAGCTCGTAGCGCTGATGGATAAGGTGAAATACTCTGAGACCGAGGCCGTTGGGATTTGCAACGATGAGATGGGACCTACAGGAAGCTGGAATCGATTCGTGCCCCGTGTTGTCCGAATGGCTGGTTCCATCGGAGCTGCGTGGCACAGCTTCCCCATTCGGCGGGGTACTTTCTCAAGTGCCCTTTGTGCAGCAACAAGGACGACTTTAGCCAGGAGATGCAGCAGCGTATGATTTATATACCGGAAAAGTAAGTGAGGCGGAGGTGGGTGAATCGGTATTGGAATACTGAATATTTTTCATTTGTTCTAGGGATGCCTCGTGGGAGCTGGTAACTGGTCAAGAAGATTTGACTGCCACGAGGGGCTTCCGTCGAAAAGTTGCTTCGAGCCATACCGGTCGTAAGGCTCGAGAAGCTCAGCTCGAAAAAGATCAAATCGTTGACTTCTCCGAAGAATGAAGTATCCTCCGTGTTCGATTTCAACTATCGTGTGAAGTTGAACAAAAAGCAGCGTCGAAAATCGATGGTAGAATTGCAGTCCATCAAGGAGGTCATCCGTTCCGACACGGATATGCTAACGGATGCCTCGGCGGAACAGGAGATCGTACGTACCAAAACGCCTGCCCAGAAATCCTTTGCCAAGCAGTTCAAACTAATGCTTCTCGGGTCCATATCCGAACCAAGAAAACGGTCGACCAGAGAGTCTGATCCGGAGCACGATTGCAAAAGATTTGATTGCTTCACCAAGGTTTTCACTTTTCTAAGAAAATAAATTATACATTATTTGAATTTATTGCTTTTCAATCAATAAAAATACCAACATTAAAAGGACAGTGATCAAATACATTGTATAGATAATCCACCGGTAAACTACGCATGAATATTCAAAAGATAAACTATACCCCTTATACTTCAAGTTTATACTAGGCTCGTTTTGTTGGCAACTAAACGAAGCCTGGGGTCAACCAGGCGAATAGCGTTTTAGTGTGATTTTTATACTAATTAGTTTAATTTTTTTTCTGAGTGTACTTTGAGCTGGTTTATCCAAATTTGGCTTATCGTACGGAACATGGGAGATGAGTGAAAAGAACTTAATTTTGGGTTGTTTTGAATTTCTGTGTTGACATGAATCCGATCGACGTTGTTCATTTGTCAACTTGGCACTCTCAACACAGTTTACCCATTATTGGGTAGGTTCAGTTTTGACCGATCTGGGTGGATTCTACCAAAATTTTGGAAGTTTTGAAATAGCGTGCAAGCCATTCGATTGCAAAATTCTCCAAATAGGTACAGTCGAGTTTTTTTTGACGTTGGATAACGTCTTTCGGCAACATACGGGGGTACAAAATTGAAAACAGTCATTTTGGATGCGTTACGAAAAATTAAAAGATTTTGAACGATAATAACTCAACCGTCTCTCGATAGATTTACGAGATAATGGCATCAATCGATTGGAAATATTTCTAGCAATTTGCTGAATGTTTCAAAACTATTTTTTTCATTCTGTAAACTATTTAAAAATGGTTAAAAGTAAACCATTGTCTAAAGATGGTGAAAATCGATTGATTTTTTTATATTCTTATACTTTCTCCAACCGAGACATCAGATGCGAATATCTGACACCTCTGATATTTTCTGTTCTACTATATAAGCGTCCAACAAGGTCGCCCGTTCCATCATTTTCTATCCGATCGTCGACCCAGCAGCAGAGCAGCAGTACCAGAGCAGCAGTACCAGAGCAGCGGCAGCAGAGCCTGGGGCAAAAGGGCAACTACGCCGAGTGCGTTGGTGCCAGTGCTCCGGTATACTGGGGCGCCGTCATGGAATGCCCAGCTGCTGCAGTTCTCAGTCGGTCTTATTCACCGTCTGCTCCGCAAGGGCAACTACGCCAAGCGCGTTGGAAAAATGGCCCTTTTCAGGGCCACAAATTTATCAAGAAAGAGTTTAACGTACGTATGCGAGTATCTGACACCTCTGATATTTTCTGTTCTACTATATAAGCGTCCAACAAGGTCGCCCGTTCCATCATTGTCAACTACATCAGCCCAACAAAACGGCCCTTTTCAGTGCCACCAAACTTTCGCAAAAGAGTTATTAAGGAATATTCCTAACATATAATATACACAATTAAGTACAACACATAACAGACGTTATCCAACGCCAACCCTGCGGTCGTATCTAGTATACAACCCTTCCAACTTTTTTCAGTTTTAGGTACTGAAATTCGACAGTGAGCATTCAAAAGGGCCTACCTGCAAATTCTCTTCATCGATTTTCTTTTTTACATTGCTACAGCTAAGCGAAACAATTAAAGCTGAACATTGCATTAGGTCCTAATTAACATTGGCAAGATTCTTTTCGTCAACTTTCTCCATGTTTCCCCTCGGCCATTCCCAGGTATTTTCAGCACACAGATCGATAAAAGAAGCTTTTATCTAGCATCTAATACGACAAACACAACAAGAAACGGTTATATGCTCAAATTATTAACGAAAGAGAAAGTCGACGAAGAGAATCGATCAATGTTACTTAGGACGTAATGCAATGTAGTGCTGTAACAGGTTGTATTGGCTATCAACAGCAACAGTAAACGCACCGAGAAATGTTAATCCAAGCGAGTTATTAACAAAAGAGAAAATCGATCATCGGGGTTACGTCCTTATGTATGCTCACTGTCGAAATTGTAATCTGTGATCTGTGTATGGAAGTCATTTTCTCCCACCACAGAAACGCTCTGTGTTCTTATGCCAAATAATGCATGTGCGTCTACAAAACACGAATGAAATCTTTTAAAAAATAGCAATATTTAGTAAAAAACAAAAAAAAATCTCAATCGGTAGATAAAAGATGTACCGAGAACTTATTGAAGACTAGCTGAGTGTGCCTGGCCTTGCTGGGATGTCACTGTTATTGTTTGCCATAACATCTACCGGAAATTACACATAATCTGTCCGTATACAGAGGACAGTGGAGTCAAAATTCCTAGAAATTCCTCCACCACTGAAAAAGTTGTTAGCAACCGAAGACCCTTCTCTGTTGCATAATCGGTACAAAAAATACTTTTTATGCCCCGCCCCATTCTTTAGGGAAGTATCTTTTGTGCCGTGTATAAAAAAGGACGGACTTGAGTTGTTAATCTAAGTGCATAAATAAGGCTACCGACGATTTTTTTTTGTGCCATGTACTCTATTTTGAAGTCTGTGACAGGGAAATCACAAATCGTGTGTCATCAAAATACATGGCATGTTGAAAGATTGAAAATTTTCTCTCTCAAATTTGATTTTTTTTTGTTTGCTGTGGACTGGTAGTAAGCGGGTAAAAAACTGTAAGGGAGAACACTTGTTTTATTTAACTGTAGCTTGTTAAACAACAATTTTAGGGAAAAAAAACTTAGCGATAAGACCAATTAATGGTTTCTTTAGGTTGTCGTCAACCTTTTTTACCTGATGAGGCTTGATGCCGTATTATTTCCACTGTTACCAATTTCTATTTGGGGATTTTTATTCCTAACTACCATTTTATGAAAAAGAGATATTTTTATGAAAAACCTAATTTGTCGAAATTATGTCTCTGAATCGGCTACATTGAGGAAAATGGTTACATAAAAAGTACAACATTAGTTAGCTAACATATACAGTACAAAATTAAATGAAAAGCCTTCCGACCACCACATTACACAATCTGTTCATGCGGTGATAAAACATTCCATATTACTTTTAAAGCAAATCTTGCTACAGACTCTTTACATTTCCTGGTAATGGAGACACAGATCAATTTTTTTAAAAATTACATGAGAATCGTTAACACACTTACCTATATACTTCTGGATGACATATCTTGTTTTGCTCACAATCGGTGGATTCACCATCGTGATAATCTGCTTAATATTGTTCATCAAGTGAATCCCTCTTCCACGGCACTTGTTGCCCGGTTTGACGATCCATATATTCAGATACCCATCCAGCGCGTACTGCGGCCAGTGATTTTTTATCTGCTCCAGCACCGACTTGGCTTCCGCAACATAATTCCCAATTACATTCGTTTCCTCTCGCTCTTTCATCACCTGAATAGTACCACCCTCGTGGGTCAACAGGAAATGGTGCGTCAGAAATACATCCCAGTCGTGGTCCCAAATCTTCACATCCTCCTCCACGTCGATGTCGTTGTGGAGACAATAATCCAGGTACTCTTTGCAGCGGGTTAGTGCGAAGTTGATACACGAACCCGGAACTTTTCCCTCGTCCGATAGGATGGCATCCATTCCTTCTTTGTCATACGTCTCCACCAACCACTTCAGAAGACCCATCGAGGCCGTCAGGCGGAAGTTATCGATGAATTCGTTCAGCTCTTCAGGGTTCCAGACGTTGTAGCATCGTGGGAAGTAGGTTTCCGACATACCTTCTTCGTAAAACCAGTGAAAATCGTGCAAAGCCGAGCAGAGACCTTCTTTGGTGGTGAACGGTGCCTTGCTGAAGCGGTTGATGATCAATGAAGAATTTTTCGTCATATCTAGCCAATCGGCCTTCTCCCTGCGAGCTGTCCACAGAAGGTCGATGGGTGTATGCTCCAGGAAGCGGGACATAATGCTTCGTTCACATTTAACGATGTGGTTCTTACGTGATTCACCTGGCTTTCGTTCCGGGAGCTGTTGAACTAGATCCTCCAAAATGAACCCTGAGGAAGAGGTGTTGGCCTGAGGTTTTGCCCTAAACCCGTCGAGCTTTTCCACCCAACCCCTTTCGACCAAAGCTCGCCGCACGGTATGGAACGACCCCCGCACAAGAAACACCCGATGATGTTTGGAGGCATCCTGCACCTTCTTCCTGAGCTCGTTCAACCGATCAGCGTTGATCCAGTTATTTTTAAACGGATTTATGAATTTAACCGTCGCTGTCAGAGGGCCCACGTTCCCATCGATAGTCTTAATTGCCACCGTTTTGACCTCCTTATCGTCCTCATTTCCACTGCCACCACAGCTGGTAGTCCCAGATTTTCTTTTCGTCCCATTCGCCGTTACATTGCTGTCCGGTCGACTGCCTTCGTTATCCTTGTCATTTTCACTTTCTATATCCTTTTCACTGGAACTAGAACTAGCATCGGAGCATTTATCACTATCACCATTGGTACTGTTGGTACTGCTGCTACTACAGCTATTGATTTCGTCCTCCATCGTCAACGAAACTGTGACACAGGAAACCTCATTTTTCGAAAAGCACCGAAATATTTATGCCCATTGCGCCCAAATCTCTTCCCTGAATAAAACAACCCAAAACGAAACGAAACGAAAAAAAAAGACTCAACACCGAACCCACACCAGACAGCTTCTTTCTCCGCGCGCCACGACGCGTTACACTACCAGTACTAAGCACTCGGAAGCCACTAAGCACCTACAGCAACCCAACACCACCCACAACCCACGCTCTGTTAGATCAAACCCTTTCCCGCCGAAAGGAGGAAATCACCAGCACTATCACTCACTCACACTCACGATTCCAGTTCCCACCCACCCAACGGTTCCTCTGCTCAGCACACTTCCGGGTCCTCCCTCTCACTCACTCCACTCCACACTGGTGGTCCTTCACTCTGTTCCTCGGATCTTTTTTCCTAGTACCTCCGAACGGTTCCACGGTTGATCTAATACTGGCCGCTCCCGAGCTCGTGGCACCGGTTTTATACACTGCACTATTCCTTGCTCGCGCCGCGCGATCCTCGTCGTGGTGGCGCGGGACGAGCTTTTTCCAATACTGTTTAGAAGCACAGCATAAAACATAAAAAGAAATCAAGCATCAGCGGATAGCTTCCCGGAAACGGGGCGCATGTTGGGAAAGTTTTTTGGCTGCCCGGGTGCGGGGAGGGGAGCATAAACTGTTGGCATTAGTAGCACCGTGCGAGCACATCTGAGGCGGTAGCTTTCATAACTAAAAGCTTTCAAGGATTTCCCGAGTAGGAATCATGCACTGGTTCATCGGGAGATAGCGTGATTGTATCCAACTAATTGATAATTATGCGTTGGATCGGCTTCTGGTAGCGAGCAACTTTTGTAATTAAGATTAAACGATGATTTAGAGTTGAAATTTGTTGTAGAACGACTTTGGAAAGTCGATGAATGATAGAACTTTCTTTTGAAGTGCGTTTTTACTGGTTCGAATAGCTAGGCCCTTCCCTTCTAACCTTCAAGTATTTTTAGGGAAAATGCTGTAAATCTCGTCTCTCATGTAAACAGCCTTTTTTTTAACCATCCTGTCTCATTAGTTGTTTTTATTGAGAAAATTAACTGACATTTGTTTGGGAATTGGGGCTCAGAAATCCAATCCAAAAACATACAAACATACCGATGGTGATTGGATGAAAATCTCAGGGACCTTCAAAAGTTCAGAGAACTACTACCAAATTTGCAAACACAGTGGAATTGTATACAAAGTTTAGAGAATTTGTTCGAAATTCAGGAAACAATTCAATGAAAATCAGGAAACCTCTTCATAGCACAATGACCTGAGTCTAGGGACCTTCTACAAAGTTCAATGAAATCATAAAACTCAACTTCTGAAAAGTTCACAAAATTTCTGAAAAGTTTACGGAACTTCATAGAAATCCGCAAATTCGAACTGAAGTTGAGGGATCTTCATAGAAGTTTAGGAAGTTTATGAATCTAAAGAATCTTCATCAAGTAAAATCTTGAAGATCTCAACCTGTCCAACGATTGACCACTTTGTCAAGCAGTTTTGGCGTGACTTTCTACCAGAGATTTCACAAAACGGGACCAACTAATTTCTATTTTTTTGTGAAACGCACAAATGTATTACTTCAAAGTTCGAGTTAATTTTAACTGCTCGAATGAAGTGGTTAATTCGAATCACGTATCTCAGATATTCTCACAAGGTAGCAAAATGATCAAAGCATATTTCAAAGGCCGTCAGGTAATCAAAGATTTTCGTTAAGCCCTCTGGATATTTTTCCAAGACTTAAGAATCAAATATTTTGCTGAAGATCTCCAACCATCCAACAAGTCTAATTATGTCTCCCATATATTCTCACAATATAGAAACATAATTCCAAAATCTCGATTTAATCAAGGATCTCCATAAAGTCTTCCAGCTATTTTTGCAAAACTGCAGATTATTGAGGTATTTTTCTGAAGATCTCCAACTGGTCAACAACTTGAATTACGGCTCTCAGATATTCTCACAAGCTATCAAAATGATCAAAAATTATACCAAAGGCCGTCAGATGTTAAAAGATCTCCATAAATCCTCTGGATATATTTTTCAAGCACTAGCGTGCACAGGAATCTTGTTTAGGAGGAGCATTTTTTTCTATGGTGCATTTAATCTGGGGATGGGGAGTATTCCAAAGTGCGTGGTGGATGGTGCTGTGCACCGATCACTGTTTCCCTACTGTTCAATTTAGCTAATTTTATTTATTTTTTGCTCCGGTGGTGGTTCATCTTCTTCAATGCAAACTGCTTTCAGACAGCCTATGGAATTGGCAATTTAATCTCATCATTATCAATATACCTGATGACAATCACCAACTGCTCGTGGTGGCCACAATCGCTCGTCTTATCTGGAATGATTGTCACTGGTTTTCCTCGCAAGGTTTTCGCAATGTTCCGCAACATTACATTGTGCAACGCCGTAGTCATGTCATTTTGAATACGGTTACTTGTGTACTGGCAATTTTTGGCACCTGTTTTTTTGGTGGTCCAGTTCTTCGTCGATACCCTTCCTGGTTTTGAAATTCTTCCACGCTTCCAACATGGATATCACTGCGATTGTGTTTGCTCCGCAACTCGGCCGCTTTCTTCCAATTTCTGAACCCTGTAGGAATCATTGTAATAATGTTTTGCGTCATGCTCTTCTTTACAGGTTAAATATATAAACCAAAGAAAATATATTCTTCGAGGTACTGGTATCATCTTTTATTCAGTTATTTTTTTGACTATTTTAAGGTTTTCTGAGCCCTTATATGCTGTTGTAGTTACACTTTACTATTACCGTTGCGAGAACGATGAACTTAGTCATTTTCAGCGAAAATTGTAGTTCTTCAAATTTTGACCTAAATGCCAAGGCTAATAGATCATTAAAAAGGTTTAAAAAATATGTAACAATTGGAACAAAAGCGCACAAAACTATGTTGACAAGCGAGTACAGGATAGTTAACGGAATTACGACTTGTGCGAAGGATTGAGCATGTCAACCCTGTCCCAAAGTACCGCCAGTAGGGTTGACAGGAAATGATACCGAACATTTAACATGTTTTTAAGATGATATAAAGGACAATCCCAAATTTATTGCACCGCACATAAACAGCTGTAACGTTTTAACCACGGAAACAAATGACTTGAAATTGTCAGAGAAGATACTTGGAAAAATTCTTAGTAAGATAACAATAGACCAAGGTTCAATGGCAAACTAATAACCATTTTTCAATTCCATCCATCCGAAAGCTGTCTTTAAACTTTGTACAATTGCAAAAAAGTCCATCCTTAGAATTACTTGAGGTTCTTTTCGAAATTTTTAGAACTCTATGAGCTCTTTCGAAATTCTTCCCAGAAGTCCTCTGGAATTATTTTTTGAACTCTTTTTAACTTTTAACGGGTGGCAACTAAAATTTTGGAATTTCTTTCTCAAGCTGTCAAAAAAAGACAAACATACTTGAAGAAGATCTGATTTATTGAAATTAAAGATACATTGTCCATTGTTGAAAAAAAATTAGTGAACATTTGAAAACGGTCCGTAATCGGATGTTCGGCGAAGCTTGATGTCGGAACAGGAGCGTTCCCTAATAAAAAATAACCATAAACGAACGATAACCCAAATCATTGAACTATTCCACAAATGGTTTGGATGATACCCAGAACACGTCGTTAAGCAAATTAACCATACAATTTTTATTAGGGTTGTACGGCCTTCATGTCAACTTTGCGAATGCATCTCTTGATTCTACCAATCAACTATTTGCAATTCGTGGCTCTCCAGTTATTTTTGTACACCAAGGAGCTCAAAACCCCGAAGAAATCTTCGATTGGGCGACACTGAGGCAGATTTGTCGGGTTGTGGTTTTTGGGTACAAATGGGATCGAATGGGTATTCAGGAACGATTGTGTTTTTTTTGGCATAATGCGATGACGCTTTATCCGGCCAAAACACGTATTGTCCATCAGCATGATGTTTTTGTAGAAACGGGATCAAAATTTTCTTCAAACATTCGTTCTGGTACACATATTGATTGATTGCCAAACCAGAGGGCTTGAACCACGAGGCACGAGAAAGAGAACGAAGTCCTTTTGCGTCCATAATTTTCGCTGGTCTTCCACTACCTTGCTTGCGAGCAGTTGTTGGGGATCTTAGGATATGGTAAACAGTTGAAGCCACAACATTTTCGCTTTTAAAATGTTGTACCGTATACTTTTTGCCGAGATTTCTGTGCAGTTCGTAGAACTGTACAACGCGCTCGCGAAATACTTCTTGTTTCGACGGCAAAACGAACAAAACTGAGCAAGCATAAACAAAACAGAAAATACTAGCAGAAAGAGGAGAGAGAGAGCTAACACATACACACTCTTATTTCTCTCTGAGCTCGTTTGTTGTTGAGCATAGAGGCCTCGAAAAAATTCCAAATTTTAGTTGTCACCCGTTACTCAGAACCTCTTGGAACTAAAATTCCCTTAGAGTTTCAGAAGACTTTCCTCAGTATTATCCAAAAATTCTTCCCAGAATGAGCTTTATCTGTACAGAGAAGAAAAATTATCTGTACTCCCTTGAAATCAGGGTTACTTCCACTCACTTGCTATAAAAAAATGTTTTTCGGTATTATGAAATCATGATATAGTATAATGCTAATTAGTACTAATAAGTTACAAGAAGAGGTCATGAAGTATATGTTTGACACATAAAATCTGTCAATATTGCTTTCAGTGCGTCACAATGAGCGATTTTACGACTCGTGAGCGCTAACTCTGAGTGAACGCTCACGAGTCGTAAAATCGCTCATTGTGACGCACTGAAAGCAATATTGACAGATTTTATGTGTCAAACATATACTTCATGACCTCTTCTTGTAGCTTATTAGTACTAATTTGCATTATACTATATCATGATTTCATAATACCGAAAAACATTTTTTTATAGCAAGTGATTGGAAGTAACCCTGCTCCCTTGAATTTTCAATTGTCCAAAACGATGTAAATTTTTAC